TGATTGTGTTGGTGATTTGTTTTCATCAGGAAAAATTTTCGTTATGAAGTTTTTTTTCCTGATGAAAACATTTTGCGTATAAGTATACTGACGTAGTGTGCGTACGATAAACGCCAGCAATCTCTATAGTACAATCCAAGTAAAATTAAAGCGTCACTAGTGGCGGGAAATAGTACTAATCGATGGTCGGTTAGACCGTTAGAATTTAGACAGCCGGTTTAAATTTCAGAGTTTGAATGATAAATTGTTGAAAAAAGAGTTCAAAATAATGAGATAAGAGCATTACTATGGATGATACATGTAGGAAATTTGTCGAATAAAGTTATGTTATGTTAATTTTCATTGAAAGATAATTAAAATGAGTTTTTTGATGCACCGATATTATTTAGGTTATGTTTTGTATCATTGCAGATTCCTATCCCGACATCGACGTCCAAGTCAGTCTGCTGGATATACTGAATGATGTTGGTGACTTCGTGCTAGCAGATTTAGAGACCTAGCATACAGTGTTGCCTGTATTCCAGATTTATCTGGATTTTCCAGATTTTTAGTCGTCTTGCCAGATACACAGACAGACCACATATATTCCCAGATTTTTTAAATATGTTAAAGATTTTCCCAGATTTTTTAAACATGTTACCTTAAAAATATCACTGCAATGTATTAATCATCTAATCAAAAACTAAAAAGCCAAACTTACTACTTTAATTATTAAAGTTCATCATCGTTGGAAATTATTGAAATTTAAGGTAATTCTGAACATAGTTCACAGTGAAGTGTAGCGTGAATTCCTTGTGAAATCAAACGAGAATTTCAAGCTTATTCTGAGTAGGGTTGCATCCATCTTTGTCTAGTGTTAAATATTCAGTCTGTGCAACCTCTGGTTGAAGACGGTGTGAATTGTCTTGTCAACTCTGATGACAATTGCATGGAGATTTTGTGAATAAAGGAAATACAATCCCGAAGAGAAATCATAGAAAATTTTTATGATGAAACGCAAGGAGTATGCTGATACGAATCGTGAGAATAATTTCAATGGAATTCTGTTCAATGTTTCTATGGATGATTCATTTTGATATAATTTTAAAACAGTTAATCGGAATTATGCGCAATTTCTGAGAAACTTTCAAAACCATCTTGGCAAAGTACTTGAGGAATTAGAAAATACTGAAGAGGATTTCAAAACAATTCTAACCTTACCTACAAAGCAGTTCAAAAGGAATTATCGGATGAGTCTGAGAAGAGCGTGACGGTCATTCTGAAGAGTGTACCAAGGAAATTATGAAGAATATTTAAGAATTTATAAAAAATTACAAGAGGGTAATGCTAGGAACTCTTAGAATGTTACTGGAAAAGTTTGGATATTGGGCCTTATTACGGGTGTCACAATCACGGTTCTTAAATTGATACTCATAATAAGAGCCGTGATTGCCGTACAAATCAAATGGGAATCACTTCACCGTGACGACAAGTGACAAGTTTTCACCGTGAAGTGACATCCGTAATAAGCCCCATTATCAAGATTATTTTAGGGGAATATAGAAAAGAAGTATGATGGAATTTTAGAATGATTCAAATGGAACTAAAAAAAAGGGCGAACCCTGTGAAGAGTTCCAAGTAAATTCAGAATAACCCAAAATTTAATGATCTGGGCCCCAGGAAAAATATAATCATTTCAAGATCCTGAGACATCAAAATTGAAGCTATCAGACTTTCATTTTAGTAATTTGGCATAAAATTATTCGTAATGGTCATGCGAATAGTGGAGTTACCCGTAGTTTAGGTAAACTGTGTGTGTTAGACTTTGTTCCACAGCCAGGTGAATTTTGCTTCAACATAAAATTGCCTACTGGTCTACTGGGTTTTGTGTGTTGTATGATGTCAAGAATTGAATTGTAAATCTGATCAACCTTAGGGTAATAAAGGGTGTCCACGATGAAATTGCCACACTATGAAATTGCTCTAACTTTTTAACCGTTGGGTAGAATTTAATGAAAATTTGGGTGGATTTAGTTCATAGTGCATTATTTACATCCTGCAAGTTTTAAAGTCCTGTGATCAAAACTCGCGGAAATGGAGTCGAAAGAACAGCTCGTGCGTGATAAAATCTTGCGCATTCATCACGAGAACAAGGATCTCTCGCATCGTTCCATCGCTAAAACGTTGGGAATCGCGAATTCCACGGTGTCGCGAGTGATTAAGCGGTTCGAGGAACGGTTGACCACCGATCGAAAGCCCAGAAGTGAAGGAAAAAGTATTCCGTACAACACCAAAAATCATAACCGCGTAGTTGGGGCCTTCAACCGAAATCCGAACGCCTCCGTTAGGGATGTGGCTAACAAGCTGCACCTAAGCCGAAGTTTTGTCCAGAAGGCCAAAACTAAGGCTGGGCTTCGAACGTTCAAGGTACAAAAGGCCCCTAATCGCGACGAGAAGCAGAACAAGTCCGCCAAAACCCGTGCCAGGAAGTTGTACCTCAACATGCTGACAAAAGTTGAATGCTGCATCATGGACGACGAAACATATGTGAAGGCCGACTTCAAACAGATCCCCGGCAACCTGTTTTTCACGGTCAAGGATAAGTTCAGCGTTCCGGAGCATGTCCGCACTCAGAAGATGTCCAAATTTGCGAAGAAATTCCTGGTTTGGCAAGTCATCTGCACGTGCGGGAAGCGGAGTGCACCTTTCGTGACCCAGGACACAATGAACGGACAGGTGTACATAAAAGAGTACCTCTGGCTGCTTCCTCTCCTGAAGGCCCACAACGTCCCAACAATCTTCTGGCCGGATTTGGCCTCATGCCACTACTCCAAGGACGTGCTGAAGTGGTATGCGGACAATAAGATCAATTTCGTGCCGAAAATGTTCAACCCTCCCAACACTCCGGAGCTCCGCCCCATCGAGAAGTACTGGGCGATTATGAAGCAGCACCTTCTTAAACGACCTAAGGTAGTGAAGACAGTCGAGGAACTGAAGAAAGTATGGGTTTACATGCAAAAAACGGTTGATTCACAGGTTGTGCAGAATCTTATGGCCGGGGTTAAGGCCAAGGTGCGGGCATTTGCGTATGGACTGTAAATAAAATACGAGTAAAATGGTAAAATGAAGTTTAATAGTTATTTCTCAATCCCTGAAAATTTGATGGCAATCGGATGAAAACTCGAATTTTGCGAATCAATTTTGTGTGTGGCAATTTCATCGTGGACACCCTTTATTAGAATTATTTAGAACTAATAAAATCTTTAAATTCTGGTACTGCATCAAACAGTACACACTTAATCTAGCTCGGTAAAATCTCCAACAGCCGATTACCTCGGCATTTAGTTTTGCTGATATCTCTGCAAAATATCTGTTTGTTCATAGGAAAATCCACTAACCCCTCATTTTATCTGTCAAACTTTCATAGTGAATCAAAACAAACATTGTGTAGTGATAGAATTTCGACTAGAATTGGGTACGTTAATCGATTTGCTTGGGACCAATAGGCTTGTCAAGTAGTGAGCCAATTTAAAATCGATAGTTTCGTATTGATTGTTGATAGGACAGCCGTAGACGGTCCATGGAGATTAACATGAACTGGTCCAGACTCTTTAAGAGTTTATTTGAAATACCCCTACTTCACTTCTGATAAAGTTTCAACGTTCAACGATTGACCATTCATGACATTAGTAGCGATTCAGAAGCGAGAAATTAGTTCTTGAGCACTGCAGTTTACTGGTTGTCAAAAGGACCCGGTGCCAATTATAAGGACTTGCTCAATATTGAATGTTTGATTCGCGGCTGAGCAGGTTTCGGTCCTGCATGACGACACTAAGGCAAATTTTTGATTATTATCCTGCAAATGAAATGCCGAGCTAGTTAGCGGTGGCATTCTTTTTTGCTCCTCAGTGCTTATGCGGTTCTTAATCGGATTCTTATCAGCTTCTTAAAATTTTAACTTGTTTAGTAAGAAACTGACTGTGCAAAAACCATTTGGTGTTTGTATGGAAATTACTATCGGAAATCCAAATTTTTCGTTCTTTGCCGTCTACCCTTTTTTATATTGGAGAGAAAGTTCGATAACTATTCTTATTAGGGAAGGTCCATCAATTATGTCACGAAAATTTGGCAAATTTTCAATCCCCCTCCCCCCTTTGTCACATTTTTTGTATAGACCTTAAAATTTGTATGGCACGTCACAGTTTCCAAAACTCCCTCCCCCTAAAAATACGACATAATTAATGGACGATCCCTTATTAAATAATTAATAAGTTTTTTTGTTGTTCGACTAAAAATCGATCTTCAGCAAAGTTGCAGCTGAGAAAATTTCATACAAGCAAGGCTATATTTTTTTTAGATAGGAGAGGCTGCGAGGAAATGGCCTTGCAAGGTTTGTCTACAAAATGGAGTTGAGGCCTTTTCAATTGTTGGTATTGACATATGACCCGATTTGGAACCGTTGATGCACTGGGGAGCAACCATTTCAAATTTGGCATCAGTCTAGTAGTCATCGTCTTTTAAATGGCATAGCTTTGTACCTAGTGAACAGTGTGTGCACAAATCTCGATTAATTTTTCGAAGGGACGTATCAGCTTTTGTAAACAATGTATTTGATCGTCAATTTGGCGTAACTAGTAGCTCGCTCACGCATGCTAACACAACCATCAGATAGGGAAAAAATTCTCCTACCTGCTAGTGGTGTTAGTAAGCGTGTGCGAGCTACCTGTTACGCCAAATCGACAATCAAATGTAATGTTTACAAAAACTGATACGTCTCTTCGAAAAAGTAAACGAGAAATTATTTAAAACAATAGCGGGAGGAAGGTGACCTGAAATGCAATTTGCTGTGTTATGAAATTTGTGAACAAACAGAATGTTATAACTTGATTTACATTTGAAGCTTGTACAAGCCCCACTAGAGACTCACTGGAAATGCACATGTACGTACCACAAAAGAAGGTCGCGAAAAAGAACTTGTTCATTTCGTAATAAAACAAATTTGCAGTTTATCTATTTCGCAATTCGTGTTCAAATGCAGGTAAGTCATTTCAAACTAGTGCGGTGCCAGTAAATTGAAAACCATCTAAGGTATAACTTATCAAGTGGCGCTTTGTAATAGTGAATCAGCGAACAATGATTGCTCGGTTAATTATCCTAACAACAATCTGGTGTATTGTTAATCTTCCTGTTTCGTCGGATGCAAATCTGTTTATAGATGCGCAAAAAGCTGTGATCGCTCGCGAGGAAGCCCTTCTGAAACAGGCGCATCATGCGGTCAAAGACAGGATCGACGAAGCATTCGATTCTGCACACAAAACACTGTTGAATGTGGTTCAACAGATGCATTACTACATAACGTATCCACTTCGAGCTGGTAATGGAATGATAGAACAATCAAGAAGCATGTTGAGCAATGCCACATCGTCATTGTCTGGATACTTGCCATTTTTCGGAAGCCAAACAATCGAAACCGCAACAGTGACCCCAAATGGTATCCGAACAACGGACGAAACATCATTAAGTGACAGGATGCAAATGATGCGGGAACAAATTTCCAAACTGTCTGGTGTGCGAGTTGTATTCAATACGGAGCCGGAAGTGTCATCAGATGGACCGTTGATGCAGTAAGAAATTGCTACTTTATTGCATTAGTAATATCATACCTAATGTGAATGTTGCTTTCAGGATCGGGATCGATGGCCAAGATGGAAGCTCAAGTCGATAGATGATAAAGCATACATGTGCTGTGTGAAATGTCATTTAATACTAACAATAAGAAGTGCAATAATTTATGTTAGCATGCATTAACAAAATTTATCTTTGAATAAAGAGAACACAGAACACTCTACTCTGCTTGTATATTTTTTACTGATTATTACGATGCGGGTTTTATTAATTAGGAGTGATGGATTTCTGAAGCTATGGCCGGCTATGTATTACGGCAAAATACGCCACGAGGGTGGGGAGGGAGATGTTCTTGGCCCACCGAAGCCAAAGAAGCCGCTTACGACGGTAACTCCTTTTGTGATAGTAACTGCCTGAAAATCAAAGATTTTTTCTGCGAAAGATAAAAAAAATGCTTCGAGGAAATAATCTACATACCTACATATATGTGCTTACATCACCCAGCAGTATCACGAACCAATTGTTCATGCGATCAATAATATATTAAAAACCTTTCAGATCCATTAGTAGAATGCGAAAGAACTGAGTTATAATAACATCAATGACTGGCCTCTTTCACGTGTCGGTGTATTTCTATCACATTATAAGGTAAACTGGGGGAATTGGGACTAGGGGGTAAGTGAAATCATTGGCTTGTGTGACTTTCTAATGTAAAACAAATCTTCAATTCTAATCATAATAAATAATTATACTATTTCCGTTGGAAAACTGAACAGAATAAAACCATAGAGGTAACTCTAAGACTAGAAGGTCCCGAAGAAACGTGCTCAACTTTTTGGCTCAGCTCTAGTACTCTCTTCGGACCCAAGCTAATCGATGCACCCCTCGAAACATAGGAAATTCCATTTTATCTGTAAAACTTTCATAGCGAATCAAAACAAACAAACAAATAGTGTAGTACTAGAATTTCGACTGGAATGGAGTACATTAATCGATTTGCTTGGAACCAATAGGCTAGTCAAGTAATTAATTAATTAATTTATCTTTATAAGGAAGGCTTTCAGCCTTGGGCTGGTTCACCTCTGCTAGTCAAGTAGTGACCCAATTTAAAATCGTTAGTTTCGAATTGATTGCTGATAAAACTCTTTTGAATGCTAAAAAAAAATTTATGCAACTCGTAGCAAAATTCGATTTTTTCAACACGTTATCATCCAATTGGGCAAGCCTACTGATCGTCTTTTTGCGACTTGTTGCATAAAAAGCTATTTCAAATAATACCTTAATGCTTTTTAAGATTTCTCTCCTCACCGTGCAAAATTTTGAAACCATCATCATTTGTTTTATTTCTCCTTTTAGCCAATTACTGTTCAATTATTTTCAGGATTATCGGATTATTTTCGAAACTGCATAAGTTACTGAAGTTACCCATACATTATTATCGATTATTTTGATTACTTTTTGACTACCCAGTTAAAGGATCATTCCGAAAAAAATCCAGTAATCTGTGATTATCGGTCAGCTTCTAAGCTTGGTAGAAACCCCTCGTGTTAATTCGATCCAACTTCCCTTAGTGTACCTTATAACGTTTTCTTTTTTTTTGCATCATTTTCAAATCATTTGTTGCGCAACTTATATGGAATCTACACTCTTCACATTACATATACATACAGGTTAGAATCCCCAAACAGACCAAATCATTGATACCTAACTTTGGCTGTTGTATTTTTGGGGATTTCCTCCTCTGCTATTCTCCGACACTGCCGATGAGCCCATCATGATTAGGCGTTTTTTGTATCAGGTTTTGCGAGCTTTGATTGCCCTGCTGTTGAGCATTTTGCTCGAATACGAAGAAAACAAAAACATACGATTTGGCTCGAACGTTCTTTCTTTCTGCTTACCATCTTCCATGTATACAGACCGGTATTTATATTGGACGGATATAAATCGCAACCGGCTGAGCCGGTTTGCCGGCTAAGATTTGATCCGGTCTACACGCTCGAGCGTAATTTACGTTTACGCTTCGCACTTGACCGTTTGATAGGCTAAGGTAAGGTAAAATGGAGTCAAAGCAACGAAAAAAAAAATAAGGGCTTAAAATAAATAGTAAAAGCTTTGAAAATTGTGTCATCTATATGAGAACGGTCTAACGTCTATCAATTGACGAGCTGATAGCATGTCTGGGTCAAGGAAGTATGAATGCTGCAAATAACGAGTCAGTTGATTGTACAAGTAAGCTATGAAACCGAGGCAAAGCTCAACGATAATGTCGGTAGAAACAAAAATAATCTGTGTTGCATTTTGATTGTTGGTGAATAATGATACTTCATTCAACACAGTAACGAAACGGAGTAAAGATGATATTTTTAATGGCAGTCGCTCAACAACAAACGCTCACTAAAAGAAGGGAAAACTCCCATACACAGCAAAAAATGAAGGTTGATATCACATCAAAGTGGATGCAATTCAATCGTGTTGAAAATATGGTGTAATATTACTTGCCAAAAAGGACAAAATTATCATTAATACAGTGCATGAACTGACATTACGCTGTTGTATTTTTTTTATCCTAGAAGGCGTTGACGTACATCGTGTGAATTACATTAAGGATCTGGGAGTCATCTTAGATTGTCAACTCACATACAGCCAGCATATCTCGTACGCGATCGACAAGGCATCCAGAACACTCGGCTTCATTTCCAGGAGAGCTAAAAGTTTCACGGATACTGTTTGAAGTCGCTTTACTGCTCCCTTGTCCGGTCGGTGTTTGAATACTGCTGCCCTGTATGGAATCCCAATTACCAAAACAGTGTACCAAGAGTAGAGTTTATTCAACGATGAATCATCTGGTTTGCCCTTCGACGATTGCCTTGGAGGGATCCTCATCGCCTTGCAAGCTAAGAAAGTCGATGCCAGTTAATTCATCTGGATCCTTTGTGGAGTCAAACAGATACGACAAGGGCCCTGTTTGTGGCAGACATTCTACAGGGCAGAATCGATTGTCCTTCTATTCTACAACAAATTGACGTTTACGTTCAACCACGAGCACTTTTCGTAGTACAAACTATAGTTCGTATGGTGCTATCAATGAGCTACAAAGGGTTTTCAATCGTGTTGCTTCCGTATTTGATTTTCACTTGGCACGCGAGACGCTGCGTCAGATTTTCCGTGATATATTTTTAAGAATTAGGAATTAAGTTGGACTTCACGATCTTTGCAGCTTGTTACTTCTTGACTATATCGTATTTCCTAGTATTGCTTAATCCATCATTAAGACTAAACCCAGTTTGTTGATGTAGAACCAAATAAACAAATATTAACAAATAAGCACAAAAGCTCTATTTTTTATATGTTATATATAGAAATATTTGATGTTATTTCTTAATCTACCCTCTTGGCCGACACTCACTCACCTGAGACGTTTGGAGCGTTATAAAAACGTTTTAAAGCAGTTTTCGACAATTCGATCGATTGGAATGGATAGAGTAGTAGGCAGCAGATGAATGTAAACAAAAAACATGGCGCGCTACGTCGAGAAAAAGCCCACAGAAACACGGACGCTTCGAGAATACGTAAATATCCCTGAAAGTTCAATTCCCGATCGAGGCGAGGATTTTTTAAAGTTGGACATTTTTTCGACTTCTCTGGAAGTATACTAAAATAACACAAAATTAAGAACAGGCATGAAATCCATTAGAAACGTAATGAACTAGGAAAAAGAAAAAAAAAAACATTTACTTCCAAGATGGGTCAATCAACAAAGCAAATATCCACTTAAACAGTGCATACAATAGCAACATACGAGTAAGATGCTAATAAAATTTACATTTAGGGTAGAATGGTGCAAAATGCACCGTTTAAGCAAAATCGTCAATTACTGGCATATGGACGCTAAAAGCAAGAAGAAAGTAATGGCGTATGGTTCATTAACACGTTTTCTACGAAGATCGAGTGATTTAGAACTACAAAAGGATGATTTTTCATGACTTTTAAAGTATTTTATAAATTGGTTCCAAGATAATAGCAGGACAAAACGCCTGATTCATGGTGCAATATGCACCACAATATTCTGGCAGAACGCACGACAACAATGGCCAAAACGCACCACAACATTGGGGTAAAATGCACCCAACCATAATCCCTGCAAGAAGATAATGCAAAGGGATGCTTTATTTCAAATGATTATTCCTTTATGTTAAACACATCAGAAATAAGGTCTCAAAATCTCAATAGAATGTTAAACTGTGATTCATCAAGTAAAATATATGAACAATATAAGAACAGTGAATTCGTTCAATTTTTTTGTGATATATGCTGTTAAAAGCTTAACATTTAACCACAGACAAACAGACATAACGCTCGAAATTTGTTCATCGAACAAGCATTTAACGGACAATTTAAAAGTATCGTAGTTGGTAGTACCGCCATCTGTGGCGCGCACACTATCGCCATCGTTTATACACTATCCCCATCTGTTCAGCGTAGTGCCCACGACAGTGTACTCAACAGATGGCGCTAATGTTTTAACGACGATGTTTGTCTGTGATTCAACCATGATTTTAACAACTGTTTCATGTTTTGCACAAAATGATATTTTTAAAGGAATCAGTAGGTCAATATATGATTTTATGATCAAGAATTATTTGTGAAACCTCCAGTTGAAAACAAACACAAACCGTTATTCGGAAAATGCATCTGATGAAAAGTTATTGCTGTTTTTATATAAGTGGGCATTTTACCCCAGGGGTGCATTATGGGCTTACAGACCGTCACAGTGAATCACTACTGGTTTTTAAAAACCAAAACAACCAAAAAGCACTTCCAAGAGCGCCATATCGAGTGACAACATAATATTTGCTCGCTGAAACGATCAGTACGCAGCAAACAAGTTAGCCTAGGGAGGTTTGGGATGCTTTTGGGGTCTGGAGGTTATCGTTCAGTCCGATGGGTCTATTTGTAAACAAAACGGGTTCCACTCAGCTTGCGCATTAGGAGTAAATAAATGATGGCAGTCAAAACAAGCTAAAACCAACTTATTATGATAACGTCGGGGGACCACATGGACATCATCCGGTCGTCCGGACGGATGGATCGAGACAGAGACATAAATTGGGCAACGGTGATTTTTTTTGCTATAGGTAGGTATTGCATATTTATTGAGATGTTCTTTCTTTCTTTCTTTCTTTCTTCTGCACAGACTGGTCGGTCATTAGTGAAATGAAATGGAATCCGTAGGATGGTCAAAAGTAAGAAGGAAAAAAACACATTCGGTAAGGTGGTATAAAAGCTGCGGGTAAACATAACAGCAGCATCAGTTCTCATCTAAATTTCAAACAATACGATAAGTCGGTTGGAAGGTTTTTATTAAATAATTTGTGAAGTGAAACCATAATCTGACATAAGATGGCCAAGTTTATTATGGTAGGATATTTGAATTGTGAAATAATCTTGAAAAATGTAGAATTTTTTCATTTGCAAAGGTGGTGAAACTTGTGGATTACCTGTGGTTAAAATATTTTTTTGAAATTTGTGTTAATACTTAATTAAAATTTCCATTTATTAATGGTGGTAAGCTTCAACCGGTATTATGCTTGGATTAAATCCCGATCAAAAATGTCCGGCTGCGTTTATGTCGACATCAGAGTTAATCAACGCGATTTTAAGCAATTTTTTTGCAGATGATCCAAACAGGGACGGTATTAAAAGTAAATCCGAGTTGGAGCTTACCGCCATAAGTATATATCCCCGCGGTGATGTCCTGAGAATATTATATTTTACGTCGTTAAATTTGGGCTTAGCTTAGAAACAGAACGCCAAAACCGAAGACATGTTGATTTCAACCTGTATGTGGGGTTCAACAGCTGAAGTATATCCTTGATCCAGCTACGATCTATGATGAGAAGATCTAAATTCAATTTCCAATCATAGAGCACATCTGATCATTTTAAATCTTTGTTAATTATTTTCGATTTGCACGTACAGATACATGACAGTTTTATTCTGCACTATTCACACTAATCTGTAAAACTTGGATGATGACAATTTGCTACAAATTATAATAATTCAACACGTTATCGTATTTGCATTACAGCTCCTCGCCCTGCTGGTTGCCGTTGTAGCCATGGCTAGCGCGCAACACGGACACGGCCAGCAAGGACACAACCATCAAGAACACGGCAAGCAAGGACACAACCATCAAGAACACGGCCAGCAAGGACACGGTGGCAGCTTTAAGCACGGTCAGCAAGGACATGGTGGCGGCTTTGAGCATGGCCAGCAAGGACACGGACAAGCTTATGGAGGTAGGGTTGATAGAAATTTAAATTTGATTAGCTCATTGTAAGCTAATTGGTATCATTCATTGATTTAGGCGGTGGACACGAAGGACACAACCATGGATTCGGTGGTCATGGACAAGGTCATGAACACGGACGGGGAAAGTACTAGAGAAGTATACATATTTGAATAAGGTTAAATAAATGTAAATTAAAACCAAGCAATAGTAAAAATAATTCGAGAGAAGTCCAAACCAAACACCAACTCTGTGATCCAAGGTCATCGAGTTGATAACGTGTACCGATCGAACCGAACATTTGATCACCAGCAATCGGAATTGTTTTCGTTAGTACCAATAACACGCGCGATCATACGCTTCTATAGATTAAATTACCCTTGCGGTCGGTTTCGTTTGGTCCACCGAACAGATGAGCTTATTCCACCGTTTGTTTGGCATTTTGTCTGTTATGTGATCAATGAGAATTAAAAACACATCATTATCAGCAGTCTTAAATGACACATGCTGTTAAATCTTCCTTATTCGTCGATCAATATTGTTGTTGAATACGAAATGAGTTGCTTTGGACTGCCTATGATTAAGGTGGGAACAGTATGTCGAATACTGCATAAGGTTACTTTATTTAGGAAAACAAGTATTTGCAATCTAATTGGGCACCCTGCAGTTTGATCCATAACCCCAAAATATAAGCCAGTGCAAAATATGATAAAGATTGATGAATGTTTAGGGGTCGCACAAATGGTATGAAATATGTATGAAGATTACGGAAAATTACTATGGAAGATTGTCGAATACTATCGCTCTATCTTTGGTTCAAGTGGTCTGAATGCCGTCAACATTGAATATGTGGTTGCCATGACAGCGATTAACAAGCCTGCCGTTGTTGTGATAAATTGGTTGTTGCCAGGCACATATTTTACTATCAATTTACCCTGTTTTATCTAGAGTCGGTGTATAATGAGTCACGCCAAGAGAAAAACAGTTGAACTCGCATCACGGTTTTCGAAAGATTCCCTTTCTTTTCACTTGGCAACAGAGGACTGCTACATCAACTTCAAATGACTTCTAGCGAGCAAAAAAAAGTAGCGCCTGTTGTAAATCATTATATCAGTGATTTTGTCCAATCATCTTAACAAAAAATAGTAGAAATTCTCATTACTGATCGTTACCAAACGTATCATATGACGATTCAATGTTCACTGCGTGTATATGATCATTTCTTCGATCATATTTTATATTTTATTGCAATACCTTTCGTGGACCTTTCATAGCATCGTAATGTTTGTTTACTTTGCACGATAGGTAGCCGGTTTGACAGTTCAATAGGTAGACTTGGCTTCACTCTTGGCGTGACTCATTATACACCGACTCTAGTTTTATCATATCTCACTTCCATGTCATATCTTACAAAGAATGATAATAGGTACATTATGGTGATTCAAAGTATCGATTTTGCTCCACCAAGCTCAATCGATTCTAAATCAGTTTCTGATGAATGAATGAACTCATGAACCGAGGAGAAAATCCCGGCGGTGCCGACTGGGATTAAATCCAGGCCTTTTGGGGTGAGAGGCAATCACATTTCTTATCATGGTGAATCCTAATCATACGAAAAACTCTAACAAAACTTCGCTCCCGTAATCTTTGTGGGGATGCAGGCGTACACTCGGTCTCCAGTACAGCAACGATCACGCCCTAACATTACCTTCCCATTCCCACCTGATTGCAAAGACGTAGCCAGTGCCTTTATAGAACCTTAAATATTTGGAATCATTGAAAATTGTACACAGTGAGAATGAACGGCCACTCCCAGTCGTTTGATTCTTTGTGCATTTTTACTGGTTTGGATAAATCACCGAGTAGAAACCATTGATATGTGCAGTCAGTCTAAACTAAGCTAAGTTAAGCTAAAATTTGGTAGCGATCTCATATTACACTGACCCTTAGAAAATTATATGGGTATTACTAAAGGAAAAGTATAAATATTCAGAGGGAGAGATGGAGAAAACAAAATAAAATTCGGCAGCACGGTTTTGTATGTAAATTATCTGGCAGCCCTGGCTAGAAGTTGGCATTTCACATGACTTTTCTTTTAGTGTCGATGTACGTGCAAAATAATAATTAAGTGCATCGCAATATTTTGCACTTTTCTTGATGCCATGAATTAACCAACAAAGGTCAATTATGTAATCAATAGAGCTAGAATATTATTTTTAAATCTTAAAACGTAAAATAAAAGCGATTGATTTTCTATTCCAATTCAATACAGGTAACAATCAATACGAAACTAACGATTTTAAATTGGCTCACCACTTTAGTAGCCTATTGGTCCCAAGCAAACGATTAACGTACCCTATTCTAGTTGAAATTCTATTACTACACTATGTTTGTTTTGATTCGCTATGAAAGTTTGACAGATAACATCACGGGTGTGTGGATTCATGCAGAACATGCAGGGGTGAGTGAAATAGCTTGGGACTGCTTGGGACCGTTGTTCTGGTACTGAGTGATTTTCATCGGGACCTACTAGTCTTAGAGTTACCTCTATGGGTATACCTCGATATAACGTAACTGCTCCTTTTGACTATCATCAGATATTTCTCACAAATAACAACCCAATCATACAATCTTATAGTACGTTCAGAATATAGAGTTATAACATGCTATAGCGCTATCTTGATGGTGGTTTCTGTGTTACAATTATTTGACAACCGTTATAACAAGTTATAACTGCTCAGTCTGGAAAGCGCTTTAGATTTACCTCTATGCTATTACCATAGAGGTAACTCTAAGACTAGAAACGTGCTCAACTTTTTGGCTCAGCTCTGGTACTCTCTTCGGTCCCAAGCTTATCGATGCACCTCTCGAAACATAGGAAAATCCACGAACCCCTCATTTTATCTGTCAAACTTTCATAGCGAATCAAAACAAATATTGCATAGTACATGTTTGCATGTTTGGGACCAATAGGCTAGTCAAGTAGCGAGCCAAATTAAAATCGTTAGTTTCGTATTGATCCTTGCTATTACCAACAATCAATATGAAACTAATGATTTAAATTGGCTCACCACTTGACTAGCCAATTGGTCCCAAGCAAACGATTAACGTATCCCATTTTAGTCGAAATTCTAGTACTACACAATGTTTGTTTTGATTCGCTATGAAAGTTTGACAGATAAAATGAGGGGTTATTGGTTTTTCCTATGTTTCGAGGGGTGAATCGATTAGCTTGGGACCGAAGAGAGTACCAGAGCTGAGCCAAAAAGTTGAGCACGTTATTTCGGGACCTTCTAGTCTTAGAGTTACCTCTATGCTATTACTGTCAATCAATATTATTAAGTAAAATTTAGCGTCATTATTTCCTTTTGATAGGGGAAATGATGGTGTTGGTCTGTAAAATTTGATTTCTACTGTAGTCAGTGAAATATTTCCAATGCACAATTTCGTTTCGTTTTCCGCTTCCATCTGGCAGCCTAGTTGATTTTTCTTGTTTATATTTTTGCCTTTGTTCTGTACATAATATGTACAGAACAAAAGGAATGATGATATTGTTATCTCGCACAATATACAAGTAGGAAGCCGATCGAAAGTGAAAGTTGTTTGTTGACTGGTCCCCAAAAAAAGCGCATTTTTCCGAATTTTCATCCGGTATATTACTCGCAGCCGGTTAGTATTCGGTCGTGTTCGTTCTGGTACTGCTGCAACCGTAATTCCTCTATGGTAGTACCTTGTGCTACGATAAGAATTATTCTCTGCTGCCGCTGCCTGTGAAACCCGGCCTCGCATAATTGCCAGTGAAGACCATTCCGGAAACCTAGCCGGTGAGTCACCCGGTACCCATCCGATGCCTTTGACACCCTAATAAAAATACCATACCCAAATTATAACCCACATCGTATGGCTATTCCACAAATGGTTTGGATGATATCTTGAATACGTCGTTATGCAAAATAATCATACACATTTAATTAGGGCACTTCTGTACCTATTCAAGACCAACAATTGAAATGGCCTTAACTGCATTTTTTAAACAAACCGTTAACTCCATTTTTTAAACAAGGCCGTTTTCTCGCGAACCGAAGTCCGCAAAGGTAAACCAACATAATGAACAGGTAGGGGAAATTCTCCTCTACCCGATTGTGGTTTAGGTTTACGAATGAAGGTTTTGGTTCGCGAGAAAATGGCCTTACAAGGTTTGTTTACAAAATGGAGTTAAGGCCATTTCAATTGTTGGTCTTGTATTATCGTCCCCGCAAATGAAGTCCTTGAGCGCCGATTTTTTACATCGCTTTGCAAAAAATAATCACGCTATGACCTCATCTACCCCCTTACGTTAATAGTAAAGAGCCTAATTTTATAAAAAGGCAACATGTCAAAATTGGAACAATCGATTGTCTGTCAAAGTCATAGGAAAAGTCATTCCAATCGAGCAGAAGACCTTTTAAATGGATAAGATGTCGTCTCTTTATAAATTCAGGCTCTTTAGTTAATAGGTACCTAATGAAGTGCCGAAGCCATCATTTCTCCTATGGAATTTTTACCTGTCGCTGATCTGCACTTAATTTTTTAAACAAATTTACTTCGTCATTAGCGTCGATTGACACGTTAGTAATTGATTCTAATCATTGAACATTTGAATTTATTTCAACTAATTGCAATATGTAGGTGAGCTGGAAGAATGGGCTTTGGTCGTGCTCAAACGTTCCATCTGACTAGCAGACAACTTTTGTAATCGGTCATGATATACACAACACAGAGCAAAAGAGTTCTTCAGTACTGTTATTACAGCATTTTGATGAATAAATAGTAAATAATGAATAAAATGTTTTGAATTTTTGACTATTTGTGTTTGGGGAATGAGGTTAACCTGTTTAGAACAGGAGCAACAATGATGCTGTTTTAACTAGTACAGCTAGGGCGGTTAACGCTTCCACGTAGTTCGGCCTGCCGGTGGTGTGCCAGATTGCGTGCCTTCTGCAGTGAATTGGATGTTTTGCTTGAAACATCTGGAAGTCGTTGAAGAAGTGCAGAAAGAGCCCAATTCCGTGGCTTTTTCTGCACTCCTTCAACGACTTCCAGCTGGCTTACTGATTTTACAAAGGTCTGTTGTTTCCACACATAAATTCGCGAAGTTATTCGTTCGAGGTGGGACGGAGGAGGATGACTTAAATTAATATGA